CTGGGGTTTGAACTCAGGACATGGCACTCCTGCTTGGCTATTTCTCCTCAAGTCTAGTGTTCTACCAATTAAACCACAGCTCTGCTTCTGGGTTTTTGCTGGTTAACTGGATAAAAGAGTTTCTCAGATTTGTCTGCCCAGGCCTAATTCAAACCTTGATCCTCAGATCTCAGGATCCTGAATAGTTAGGTTTACAAGTGTGAGATACCAGTGCCCAGCAGGTTGTATTTTTTGGTATTTTGGTTTTATGTAATTATAATTTTGACAGCTAAATAGTATACCATGTTTGTTTGTTTTTTACAAAGGAATAACATTAGCAACTATTGTACATGTGTTGGAATGATCTGTTTTTTATAGATGATAGATGCACATTTTAAAAAGTGTTAATTTTTTATAAACCTATAATATAATTTTTGTTGAGCTACTTTTTGTGTTAATTTTGGAAACTAAGAAAATTTACCTGACTGAATTCTGCAAATTTCTCTTACTTAGCCCAGTGGAAAAACACCAGGAAAAGGAAAATTGAAATGATGTTTTGCCTGATATGAATAAGTTGCATATATGTTTTAAAAAACTAAAATCCATATTGATAGTTGATCATTTGATTTTGCCTAATGAGATGCAGAATAAAGACTTTAATTTGAAGGGCATATTAGAAGGGTTTGTGTGTGTGTGTATGCGTGTGGGTGCTGGTACTGGGGCTTGTACTCACGGCCTCACATTCTTGCTAGGCTTTTTCACTCAAGACTGGTGCTCTACCACTTGAGCCACAACTCCACTTTCAGCTTCTTGCTAGTTAAGTGGAGATGAGAGTCTACCAGGTTTGCTGGCTTCAAACTTTGAACCTTAGATTTGAGCCTCTTGAGCAAGTAGGGATATAGGTATGAAGCACTAGCAACAGGGTAGGAGTTATTTTTAAAAAATATTTCTTCCCTTCCATTTTAGGATCTCCACCGTACGGGCTGTAGCTCCTACTGTGGCCAAGAGGCTGAGCAAGACAGAGTGGTTTTGAAGCGGGTGCTGCTGGCCTATGCCCGATGGAACAAGAATGTTGGGTACTGTCAAGGATTCAACATCCTGGCTGCACTCATTTTGGAAGTGATGGAAGGCAATGAAGGAGATGCATTGAAAGTGAGTGTTAGGCTCTGATGAAGAAAATTGGAATTCTTTTAGAGTGAAAACCTGGAACTATAATTTTCTACTGTGATGCCTCTGCTCATTCCAATAACTTATAATAAACGTATGATAGCAATTGTATAATTTTCCATCATTTGTAATTATCTATGATAGTATTGCCCCCAAATTGAAGCCAGGTCAAGTGACAGATGTGTGTAGCTGCCAATTGTGAAGGAAATGAGTATTTTTGGTCTTAAGTAGGACCATCATGCCTTAAGTAAGCCATCCTATTTTTTATTGTTGTTGGTTGTGGGGCCTGAACTCTGGGTGGTGCTGTCCCTCAGCTCTTCAGCTCAAGGCTAGCACTCTACTACTTGAGCCACAGCACCACTTGCGGCCTTTTCTTTTTGCTTATGTGGTGCTGAGGAATTGAACCCAGGGCCTCATGCATACAAGGCAAGCGCTCTACCACTGAGCCATCTTCCCAGTCCCAGGCATCATATATTTTTTTTGGAATCATATTTTTTAAGCAAGTTAAATATTAATGTTTTGTATTTTATTTTTATTGTGAAAATACCATACAGAGGAGTTACAATGACATGAGCAAGGTAATGAGTACATTTCTTATCAAGCATTTTTTGTGTGTAACAAATTAGCTGCTTAAAATAGCAAGCACGTATCACTTCATGGTTTCTTTGCATCAGAAATCTGGTCATGGTTAGCTAGTTTGAGGACACATACTGTGGTGTTCATATTGTCTCATCTGAAGATGCAGTGGGTAGACCATTTGCATTTGTGCAGTTGTTAACAAGATTTCAATTCCTCATAAACTGTTGAACTGAGAGGTCTCAGTTTCTTAATGTTGTTGGCTGGAAGCCTCTGTTAGTTCCTTGTCACATAAGTCCCTCCATCTCCCAGACTGGTGTATGTTACAGATTTTTTGGCCAGATATTGTTTTTCCATGTTCTAGTTGTTTCAAGTGGTTACGAGAGCCAACGCATACTCAAGGTAATGGGTTGGGGCTAACTGGGGCTCCTATTAGAAGCTGCCTGCCATCCCACTGCATTTAATTTTGATTGGCTGTCGTATTGGGTTGCTTTCCTCTTCATATTTGGGGCATGGTATGGAGGAGGTGGGCTGAAGGGGTCTAGGGAAGTGTTTGCATGGAGAAAAGTTACAGGAGTAAATTATATCATTATCCTTTAATCTTTGATGCCTATGATCCTTTTATTAGTTAAAAATAGTTCTGGAGCATTAACAATAGTAGCTTATAAGTTTGAATGTGAGTCAGTGAGTTACCTGAAATACACTCTGTATGGAAAAAAAAAGCCTTTCAGATGTGGAGGATGGCCACTGCCTTATTTGCTTAGGGCAGTGTAGGCTGCCAATTTATGTATGAACCTTTAAACTTTGGTTGATTGCAGTGCTTGTGATGTATGAGATGGATGTTTCATCTTTGCATGCAAGACGTACCCCCTTATACTCTTAAGTGATATTCTCAGTCACTGATGTGGTATGGAAAAATAAATGTGTTTTCCATCTCGATTGAGAGCTAATTAAAATCTAGCCTATCCTTTTTTTTCCATTTGTGTATTTAAAGAAACAATATTGAAGCCACCTGTTCATCGAATAGGTAGGGGCCAGGGATAGGTGAAGAAGATAGTGAAAAATCAAACACATAACTTTAAGGCATTTTAAATTAAAAAGGCATTTTGTCTACTCAGTCAATCGATTTTACTTGGGATTTAAAAAAAATGGAATGTGTATGACTCAAATGAGCAGTGTTCCATTGAACAGTTGGAATAGAAGATTCAGGTTAGAGGGTGGGATGGAGGAGTTTAGGGAAATAAACTTTGAACTCTTTATTTTTGGGGTCCGGTCGTGGGGCTTGAACTCTGGGCCTGGGCGCTGTCCCTGAGCTCTTCAGCTCAAGGCTAGCACTCTACCACTTGAGCCACAGCGCCACTTCCGGCTTTTTTCTTTTTGCTTATGTGGTGCTGAGGAATTGAACCCAGGGCCTCAGGCATGCAAGGCAAGCGCTCTACCACTGAGCCACCTTCCCAGCCCCAAACTTTGAACTCTTGAAAAGGCTCATGGTTGAGAAATGGAACTCTCATGAAAGGTTGGGTTGGATAGAGTTGAAAAGTGGAGTGTTTGTATTTCTGCCCCCAAGTAAATTAAGGACATGCTATACATTTCCATCCCTTAGGAGCAGATAGGTCTTCTTGTTTAACATACAGAAGAGTACTGGGGTCCTGAAGAAAGCTTTCTGGTGCCAAGGAAATTACAGGATGTCTGTGTTTTCTTCATAGCCATTTTGGTCTCTGCAGGTTGAAATTACAAAAGAAATATATAGAAATAGAAATGAAGGAAACATTTTTCCTGCCTTTTTTTTTTTTTTTTAATTTCCTTTCCAAAGCTGAGGACTGAACTTAGGACCTTGTGCTTGCCAGGCAAGTGCCATTTTACTGAGCTAAATCTCCAGCCCCGCTTCTTGCTTTTAAGTAGCAGTGTTGTTGGTTTATTTTTTCCTGAGTAACTTTTTTTTTGGGGGGGGTCATGGGGCTTGAACTCTAGGCCTGGGCGCTCTGCCCAGCTCTTCAGCTCAAGGCTAGCGCTCTACCACTTGAGCCACAGCACCACTTCCAGCTTTTTTCTTTTGCTTATGTGGTGCTAAGGAATCAAACCCAGGGCCTCATGCATTCAAGGCAAGCACTCTACCATTGAGCCAACTTCCCAGCCCCTGAGTAACTATTTTGTTTGTATTTGTTAAAAGTTTGAAGCTCTTTTGCTACTTATCCATATTTATTATTCTATTTTAAGATATAAGCTTGGCTCCAGTGGCTGAGGGCCTGTAATCCTAGCTACTTAGGAGACTGGGATATGAGGATTGTGGTTTGAAGCTAGCCTGGACAGATAAATTTGAGGGAATCTTATCTCTGATTAATCAGCAAAAAACTCAAAAAACAACAAGCCAGATGTGGGGTTGTCCAGCCTTGAGCAAAAAAGCTAAGGGAGAGCTCAAAATCCTGAGTTCAAGCCCTAATGCCTACACCTACCACCACTACCACCACCACCACCCCATATAGAATTTGGCCTTTGAAATTCAGTCATGGATATGAGTGAGCTTAATATTAGACTTGGAGATGAATTTAGTTGCTTTGTGTTTTTTTTTATTTGTTTTGGGTCTATTTTAATAAAGGATAGGGCTGTATGTAGCTCAGTAGTAGGGTGCTGCTTGCCTACTTGTAGCCCTGGATTGGATCTCTAGCACCACACTACCAAAGGGAGGAAAAAAAGGAATATTTCTCTTAGTACTATATAATTTATCCTTAGGTAAAAAGTGTAATAATTCAAAGCTAGTTACCTTTAAATTTGCCTTTGTGATCCTATACATTCATTTTTTCCTCTGGTGTGTGGAGTGTGGGTCCATACCGGGGCATGCTGCCCTGCTGGGAATCTGCTCTTTCCCCTGGGACCCACTCTGTCCTGAGGACTGAGTGGACTCCTCCTGTTGCTGAGCTCCTGATTCCTAGGTGATGATGTGTTTACCTGGTAAATCCAGTCCTCAATAACAAGGCTGACTTGATGAGCTTACTCACCTGTGCCAAAGGTCTTTAAGAGTCAGTTCTCACAAACCAAACTATAAAAATTATAAACCACAAATGAGAAAGTGGGATTGTGGAAGAGCTAGGAAGAATATATACATATATATGTATATAATTGTGCCAGTAACTAGGGCTTGAATTTAGGGCCAGGGCACTGTCCTTGATTTTTTTTCTGCTCAAGGCTAGTTAGTGTTCATTTCTTGAGCCATAGCTCCACTTCCTGCTTTTTGGTGGTGAATTGGAGAGAAGTCTCAAGATTTGTCTGTACAGGCTGGCTTTAAACCATCATCTTCAGATCTTAGCCTCCTGAGTAGCTAGGATTATAGGTGTGAACTATCAGCACCTGGCTGATATATCTGTGTGTGTGTGTGTGTGTGTGTGTGTGTGTGTGTGTGTATGTGTATATATAATACATATATATTAGAATAGAGTTTTGTGGGATCCTGAGGCAAAAAGCAAAACATACAACAATAGCTTATCTAGCAACATGCAGCCTTGAAACTCTGATTTGCCAATACTCTGGCATGTGAGCTCATCTTTTAGGGAGCCGGCACCCAGCATATAGGCAGGACTAAAGACCTACCAACAGAACTCATGTATATTTTGCTGAATCACTCTGATTTTTTTTTAAATTAACATTCTAGAAAGGTGGTAATACAAGTAGAGAAATCAGAATGAAATTGTAGTTCAAAGAACTTGTATGACAATATTGATCAAAGAAATGTAGATTGTAGAAGTTTTGCTTATTCAAATAAAGCCTGGCTGCATCTCTCAGGAAAGGAAAAATGATAAAAAGCTAGCAGCAAGTTGCTATAATAACCCAGGTTGATGGCTGCTGCTTTGTGGGAGTTTTATGGCAGGCTGGCTCCTGGATTTCATGTGCAGGTGGTAAAGCTGTGGATACCAGGAAGCAAGTACTGAAGCTCCTGAGATGTCTGTTGATGAAGCTCATACTTTCTCATTCCTCCTTGAGGCTGAGAGTTGTGTAATTGCAACTACATACAGGATGAGCTCAGGTCTGGCAGCCCTTTCTTCCCACAATCTCAGCTAACAGTAGACTTTGGGTCTGAGTGACTGAGATAATTATGCTGCCTGCTCCCACCACAAGGTGTTTGATTCTGACACATTGAAAGGATGCTTGGTGTACTAAGGCTAGCTGCTTTTATCGATTTGAATGTATTCTCTTAATTTAGGACCTGTTAGGATCTTGGTTGTTATGAAGCAATCTTGTTTTTTTTTTATTCTTTTATTTTTCTCCTACAGATTATGATTTACCTGATTGATAAGGTCCTTCCTGAAAGCTATTTTGTTAATAATCTCCGGGCGTTGTCTGTGGATATGGCTGTCTTCAGGGACCTCTTGAAATTGAAACTCCCGGAATTATCTCAGCACCTGGATACTCTGCAGAGAACTGCAAACAAAGACAGTGCGGGTAGGGATGATTCATTGCCTCTGAAAATATTGGGCTTCTCTTAGTCTACTCTATAAATAAGCTTAAACCTGGAATGGAAATACAGGTTGCCAGGTATTTTTGTTTTAAGAGTTTGGGGCAATAAAGCAGTTTAGAACCCACAGAAGAGAAGCAAGACTAAAAACATATAGGGCTACTGTTGAACCTCTAACTGGCCCTGGGTAGAAAGTTGATTGAGAGCCTAAAACTACACCAGTACCATATCAACAACTAACAGGATATACTGAATTCTAGATGAAGATGGTGTACATATTTTACTATGGAGTCCAACTGCTCTTAGCTGGCACCAAATCTATAGGAGTTCTTTAAAACTGGGCTATAGTTATAATTTTGTACCAACTGGTTTTCCCAAATCCTTTGAGGTAATGGGAGGAAAGCTCTGAGAGTTTTTGCTATCTAGAGGGCATTGTCTGGCTCTTAGAAGTACTTGCATTTAATTACTCTAGTTAGACACAGTGCTTATATTTCTGTCCTGTTCTCTGGGCACCAGAAAGAACAGTCAAAAGTTTGCTGTGTATGCTGTACACCCATGGGTGTCAGATTCTGTTGTCTAGTCTGACCCACACATTTAAGTCTGGGGAGGTAGAACTGGCAGTATAGCTCAGTGGTGGAGTGCTTGTAAGGCCCTGGATTCAATAACCAACATATATCCAAAGACCTCAAATAGACATTTTCCAAAGAAGGCATACAAATATATGACAACACATACACAAAAAGATGCCCCACATTCCCAACCACCAAAGTAGCATATTAAGGGATTTGGGGAATCTAATCTTTGCATAAAATGTATAGGAAATTTAAAAAAATCATTGTTATTAAGGAATTGTACAGAGGGGCTACCACTTTCTAAGTTAGGCAATGAATAAATGTCCTCTTTTGGACAATGTCATCCCTTTCTTAACTCTCCCTCAGTTGCCCCTCTGATCCCTGCCCACAAGTTACATAGTTCATTTTTCACATATTGTATACTGAGTGTCATGACTGTATTTATTCTGGAAATTTTAGTGGTACCTAGGTATCTCATGTATTTTCTCCTAGGTCATTTAAATGATCTCATTGAACTTGGTGTGCAGTGTAAATGAATTTCTGTGAACTTTATAATGCTCCCAGATAGACAGTGTTCTTGCCTGTCCTATAGACAGACAAGTTTTCCACCTGCTCCCCTTCCCCCCTAGCCCTTTGCATTTGACTATAAGGAATAACATGAAGTTCTAGTCTCTGAATAAGTATTTCTTTATAGATTAGGAAAGAGAAAACAAGGGCAAGAAAGTTCAGGATTCTTTTTGGTCACATTTAGACCATTGTTTATACTGACTTAACTGGAAGAGAGCGAGTCAATCTAACTATCTGTGTTTTCATATCTCATTAATAAACACACACTTATGTTAGCAATAGGAAGTGGGACTCTTTAAAGTGAATTCAGAAATTTCAGAATGGGCCTGTTCCTGAATCTTCCTTTAAAACTGTGTATAATGTAGAAATAGGCATATACTCTATTATAAAATATTATTTTATATATCATATAACCGATATCTTACATATTATATGTTTATTAGTATATATAAAATATTTTAAAATTTAATGTCGCTTAATCTCCAACTATGTTGAGATTTTTCCAGTTATGATCCCATTGTGATCTGAGAATTATGTATAGCATAGAAGTAAGTAATTTATAATAAGCCACTTTAGTCTTCATCAGCTACATTTGAGTAAAAACAGGCTCTGTAAGATTCTCCCTGTTTCTGGAAAGGAAAAATGGAGCAATGACCCAGGATTTAGAGATAGGAAGGAAGTCAGTCATGAGATATTAACATGTTCCGGCGATTGGAAGAAGTTGGCCATCTTGTCAATTATCAGCCCTGAAGGCCTTTCGTGTGTGTGTTTTGTTTCAGGCGGATATGAGCCCCCTCTTACGAACGTCTTCACCATGCAGTGGTTTCTCACCCTCTTTGCCACGTGCCTCCCTAACCACACCGTTTTAAAGATCTGGGATTCAATCTTCTTTGAAGGTTCGGAAATCATCCTAAGGGTATCACTGGCTATATGGGCAAAATTGGCAGAGTAAGTGTTTTCCTTGCTGTTCTATGGTGTTGGCATGAAGTGTTTTTTTGTGCTTCAGGTGTTAAGAGCGAGGGAAAAAGAACGTTGTAAACTTTGTTGACATGCTTTAGCCTACTGAATCTCAACTGGCTCCTTGATTACTCTGGGCTGGAGGAAATCTATTTTAGGAAAGTGTCATGCTACTTCAGGTCTATGGATCTTCTTGTCAGCTGGAAGGGGGTGCATAGAGGGAGAAACTGGAAGATTTAGAGGGGAGGAGATGGATGTGTCGGCTCATATCACAATTTGGATTATTTATAAAACACTGCCTTTCCAGGCTGTGATAAAATGAAATGCGATTACTTGCACAGGGAACTCTAGCATGACTCTGTACTGTTCTGTCAATAGCAGAACACACGAAACTCCTTTCTTTTTCACCAAAAATTTCTTCTGTTGAGATCTAGTTCTGCCAACACATGTTACCAAGTGGATTTGTACTTAACATTCCTTTTCATAGCAGGGCTGAGTACTGAAAAGGATAGGATATTTTCACTTATTTCTAACATATGGTGGTGACAACATTAACTTTGTACCTCTGGGTAATGGAAAAATTAGGAATGACAGGATAAAGCTGTTAACAGAGAGATATTTTCTTGTTTTTACTTTGTTGTTGGGGTTTGTTTTGAATTGATTTACCGTTTTTCCAGTACTGATTTTTTATCTCACTGAGCCATGCTTCCAGCTCTTTTTAGCACTGGTTATTTTATTTATTTATTTATTTAATTAGTTAGTTAGTTAATTAGTTTTGGTCGGTTGTGGGGCTTGATCTCTGGGCCTGGGCGCTGTCCCTCAGCTCTTCAGCTCCAGTGCTTTAGCGCTTGAGCCGCAGTGCCACTTCGGGTTTTCTAATGGTTTATTGGAGACAGACAAGAGTCTCATGGACTTTCCTGCCTGGGCTGGCTTTGAACCTCATTCCTCAGAGCTCAGCCTCCTGAGTAGCTAGGATTACAGGCGTGCGTGAGCCACCTGTGCCTGGCAGCACTGGTTATTTTTGAAATAAGGTCTTGCTTTCTGCTCAGATGTGAGTCTGAACCATGATTCACCTAGTTTAGGCATCTCATTGTAGCTATAAAGATGGGTGTAACCACCACACCCAGCTTCATCCAATTGGATAGGGTCTTTGGTCTTTTCTGCTGGGTTATCCTGGAACTAAGATTCTCCCAGTGTCAACCTCCTGTGAAGCTAGGATGTTAGGTACGCACCATGTACTCCAACTATGGGTTTAGAAGAGGTCTCATAGACTTCTCTACGAAGGCTATCCTCGAACCAGAATCTGTCCATTCCTACCAAGTAGCTAAGGGTACAGGCAGGAGTCGCTAGGACTCAGATTTTTTAAAAGCTACTATTTATTGTTTTTTGAGTCAGGATCTCACTGTGTAGTTCAGGCTGGTCTGGAACACATCATCTTCCTATTTCTGCCTAAGTGATGGGTAAATGCTGCTTTAGTAAAACTATGAATCACTTGACTAAGTACCCATGAACAATATGTCAAAAATTAATAAACTAGGGCTGGGAAGGTGGCTCAGTGGTAGAGCGCTTGCCTTGCATGCCTGAGGTTCTGGGTTCGATTCCTCAGCACCACATGAGCAAAAAGAAAAAAGCCAGAAGTGGCGCTGTGGCTCAAGTGGTAGAGCAGTAGCCTTGAGCTCAGAGTTCAGGCCCCATGACCAGATCCCCCCCCAAAATTAATAAACTACTGGTGTGTTTTGTTTGAAAGTATTTTAACTACTCTTTTGTTGTTTCCTGGAAGACTTGTGGTATTTAAGTTTTTTTTTTTTCAAATAAACAGTCACTATCAGTTCAGGGATTAAAATATCAGTATTATGTGTAAATATTATGTGTAAATATCCTTTGCCTTTTTTATTGTACTTTGCTTTTTAGTTATATCCTTTGCCTTTGTTTTGCTGTTTTTGTTATTGCTATTTTGTTTTGTTTTTAGTTACATCATTTGCCTTTGTTTTACTGTAGTTTGCTTTTTTGCTTCAGTATGAGATTTAATGCTATTTACTTAACTTTTCATTTTCTCCCAGTATCTATCTTTTCCTACACTCATTTTCTAAATTACTCTGCACATTTTAGGCATTTTTGAGCTTTGATAGTTCCTGAAGTGCTATAGAGTGGGTAATTGGCTTATAGGATTACAGTAGTAAAACCCTCTACTTTGTGATAGTCACCATTGCAGTGTGTGTGTGTGTGTATGTGTATGTATGTTGTGTGTATGTGTGTGTATGAGTGTGTATGTGTATAAGTATGTACTGGGGCTTGAACTCAAGGTCTTGAGCTCTCACTAAGCTTTTTCCTTCAAGACTGGAGCTCAGCCTCTTGAGCCACTCTTCCAGCTTTTTGTTGGTTAATTGGAGATAAGAGTCTCTTGAATTTGGATTTATCTGGCCAGGCTGGCTTTGAACTCTATTCTCAGATGGTAGTTTCCTAAGTAGCTAAGATTACAAACTTGAGTCACCAGTGCCAAGCTTGTGTTAGTTGTTAATAAAGGGACAGGAAGAAAAAAAGGTAACCCTACCCAGGCGCCGGTGGCTCAAGCCTATAATCCTAGCTACTCAGGAGGCTGAGATCTGAGGATCGCAGTTCAAAGCCAGCGTGGGCAGGAAAGACTGTGAGACTCCTATCTCCAATAAACCACTAGAAAACTGGAAGTGGCGCTGTAGCTTAAGTGGTAGAGCGCTCGCCTTGAGCTGAAGAGCGCAGGACAGCACCCAGGCCCAGAGTTCAAGCCCCACGACTGACCAAAAAAAAAAAAAAAAGATAATCCTGATGTTCTTCCCATCAGCTCATTGTAGGATCAGAATCCTTAGGAATGCTCCACTATTGACATTGTAGTAGCTGCAATGTAGAGCAGGCAACCAGTGATTACAATGCTAAGCACCATTCCACATTCTCTGCACTGTTGAATCATTTTGTTCTCTACCATCATGTGAGATATGCATATTATCTTGATTTTACAGGTATCAAACCTGAGGCACAGAGTTCAGTTAATTGTCTCTATTCACTGGGTTAGTGAGAGGGACTGAATTAAAACCCAAGTTTCTCTGGCTCTAGAATCTGTGCTTTTAATTAAGTAAATCTACTACTAATAAAGACCTACTGTTAAAAAATTCAAGGGATTCTGATATATTTGACTTACATATATCAGTCAGATATCTATGTATCTATCCCTATATATTGGCATCTGTTTACCAATCATCATATCTATTTAACATTCATATGTCATATATATGAGATACACAAAATATATTAGTCTGGTACAGTTTTAAGTGTTTCAGAGTTTTGCTCATTGTAATTGTACACTTTGTGAGCATGCAGCGATGAGATGCAAGGACAGGCAATCAACACCCATCCAGAGCTAACAGTGTTGTTGTGTTAGACAGTCAGAGCACATTAGCTCATAACCCTGTGAAGTAGCAGTATTCCTTCCAGTCTGTTCAAGTGAGAAAGCTTCCTAAGCTCGTTAGGTTAATTAACTTGCTCACAGTCATGCAGCTAATGAATATGCCTGGATCTTTGTGATTCTAGATGACTCTTCTCCACAAACATTACATCAGAAAACCCCTAAGTGGCATGTGGGTAACTTACAGCTTCTGTGTTCCTGAGGAACACCTGCGTCACTTGCTTCAGCAGCTTGGCATTTGTATGTAGTCTGTGAGTTGCAGGCCATCAGCACCTTCTCAGGCATCTCTTTACAAGTTCTTTGTCTTCTGGCCCACAATTACTGTCACTCTGTCATTACCTCATTCCTGGTCCCTTTTGGATAAACCTCCCTGGTCTCCTCTCCTGTACCACATTTGCCATTCTGCCTACCAGCTGACCTTGCCAAGGGCACATCTGTTTCCTCATTCCCTATTAAAAGCCTAGCAGCTACTCCTGTCCTGAAGAGGCTCAGCTGGTCTGAGGCCTTTGCAATCTGTTGTTGGGATTTCTCCAGCCTTAGCTCTCACTGGCTCCCTCTGGTGTGCAATGATTCCTCTCATTTTGGTCTTGCAGTTAGTTAAGTGGGCTGTTTCCTACATCAGGTCTGTAGGTCTGTGGAATACTCTCCCCTCCCCCACACCCTGGCAGCCTACAGATCCTTTCTTCAAAACTCATGAAGCATTTTAATTTTCTTCTTTGTGCCCTGGGATAAATATAACCACCTTTCATTTAAGTCCATCTGCTGAATTTTTGTAACAATACTTTAACAGTTCACTTCATTAATTTATTTACATGATTGTGGCAATGGTATTTGAAGAGCACTGTGGACAATAAGGGTTTTATATACACACACAAACACACTTTTAAAAACTACTTACTCGTTATTATAAATATGATTAACAGAAGGATACTTTTTTATTGGTGCTGGCCCTGGGACTTGAAGTCAGGGCCTGGGCACTCTCCTTGAGCTTTTTTGCTCAAGGCTAGTACTCTACTACTTGCACAGCTCCATTTCTGGCTTTTTTGCTGGCTAATTGGAGATTAACCTGCACTTCCTGGGCTGGCTTTGAACCACATTGCTTGATTGCAGTCTCCTGAGTAGCTAGGATTATAGGCATGAGCCACCACTGGCCAGTTTTTTTTTTTCCTGTGTGTATATGTATATAAATAATATAGTATATAACATAGACCCACTTTTTTTTCCAGTCCTAGGGCTTGAACTCAGGGCCTGGGCACTGTCCCTGAGCTGCTTTTGCTCAAGGCTAGCACTCTACCACTTGAGTCACAGTGCCCCTTCTGGCTTTTTCAGTTTATGTGGTACTGAGGAATTGAACCCAGGGCTTCATGCATGCTAGGCAAGCACTCTACCACTAAGCCACATTCCCAGACCCCCTCCCCCACTTTTTGACGACTGAAAATAACCCATTGTTAGTGCATGTCAAGCACATGACTTGTTGCTGGGCCAACAGATTGATTATCTGATTATACAAAAACATTATACTAGATAAATCAGAAATATCTAGCACTCTTTGATTTGGACTATTCCTTTTGTTCCCCTTTTAAAAGGAAGATTAAATTCTACTCTGTCTCCTAAGTTACTAGGTTACAGCATCTTCCCTGAACTCAGAAACTTCTGCCTGTGAAAACATTCTGTGGACTAATGAAATAAGCTGTTTAAAGTTTTCCTAGTTTTGATCTTGCAACTCTATTGTGGTTTGATTTCAGTCTATTAATGATATCCCAGATGATTCCTTGCAGGGGGTAACTACTCTTCAGAAACCAATTTTATTTTTTTAAATTTAATTAATTAATTTATTTTTTGCCGGTTTTGGGGCTTGAACTCAAGGCCTAGGCCCTGTCCCAAATGGCAGGCTAGCGCTTTAGCGCTTGAGCCACAGTGCCTCTTCTGGGTTTTTCTGAGTAGTTTATTGGAAATCAGTGTCTCACGGACTTTCCTTCCCCGGACTGGCTTCAAACCACATTTCTCAGATCTTAGCCTCCTAAATAACTAGGACTATAGGCGTGAGCCACAGGTACTTGGCTTCAGTATCCAAATTTGTAGTTCTAACTTGTTTTCTTTCTTTCTCTTTCCTTCCTTCTTTCTCTCTCTTTCTCTTTTTTTTTTTTCTTGTATGCTGCTGTTGGGGCTTGAACTCAGGGCCTTGCATTCCTGCTGAGCTTTTTTGTACAGGCTAGTATTTTACCACTTGAGCCACACTTCCACTTCTGGCTTTTTGTTAGTTAATTGTATATGAGTCTCATAGTTTTGTCTGTCCAAACTGGTTTCAATCCTAGATCCTGAGATCTCAACCTCCTGAGAGGAGCCTGGCTTGTAGTTATGGTTTCTAATCAGTGCTGGATTTGTTGACGGGTAGAAGGTTTCACGTGGGCACAGATAAAGATACCATGGTGGGAGGAAGGCACATAGGGGAAATGAAATCCATTCTGTCACAAGCACTTCAAAGTTAATTTGGCTTTTTTTTTTCTTTTCTCTTTCTAAATTTTCTTTAAAAGACAGGGGCTGGTCTTAAGCTTCTAGACTGAAGTCATTGTCCTACTTCAGGAATGGATCACTGTGGCCTGCTTGGCTTGGCATTTTTTTTTTTTATCTTTTCTCCACATGTAGCAGGCTGTGTCAGGGATTTTGGTTATTATAGGTTGCTAATTCCATTACTCTGATGGCAAAAGGCAGCATTTCTTGATGGTGTGTACCTATTAGATGCTCAGCGCGAAGGCCTGAAACCTGTCCTTTTGTCTGGCCTTTCCTCATCTAGGCAGATAGAATGTTGTGGAACAGCAGATGAGTTCTACAGCACCATGGGACGCCTCACCCAGGAGATGCTGGAGAATGACCTTCTGCAAAGCCACGAACTCATGCAGGTGAGTGGGCAGCGGGGCTCGCCTGGGTGCGGGAACTCCAGGGACCCATGCAATGCAAAGTGGTGATTCTAGGAAATGTATGTAGCCAGCTTAGAGAGTTAGTTTTGCCACTGACCAAGAGTTTGTATAATTTGATAAGAATCAATATCACAAGAGGAAGCAAAAAGTGAATGAAGGCTCTTTGTTGTATTTTCATTCCCACTGTGTTGCTTGAAATCAGTAGGTGCAAGATAAAAATAGGACCTGGAGGCATGGCTCAAGTGATAGATTGCCAGACTTGAGCAAAAAAGTGAAGAGAGGGTGACAAGGCCCCAGTTCAAACTCTAGTACGAGAATGCACACGCACAGGTGCTCCCTCCCACCCCAGACTGAGACTAAAACAAGACAAAACAAAATCACTAGATGCTTAATTTAAATATGATTTAGATTGTTTAAGAATGTAAGTCTAAGATTGTTTTAAAGGGAAACTTATAGGGTAAATTATTTGGGGTTAGTGAGTTACTGAGATACAGAAATTATTCTAATCTTCATTTTATTTTCCACCTAGGTTACTCTGTATTACTCAGAATTTTAGTGGGAGAGAATGGAAGGGGTTGGCTAGTTTCTGGCAAGTTACTTTATCAAGATCATATTCATCCATCTTTGAACTAGACACTGGGCAGCAGAAAAGCTAGGGGATTTATTAGCACTCTCTCTCCCATTCATTTCTATAACATAAATTTATCCTAATTCTCCTCCAGTGCTCTGAACCAACTCCACTCTTTCTGCCTCTTCCTGTTGGTACTGACCCACTGTGGGTTGTACCTAGCATTGGCCTAGTGCCTTACTTCTTTTCTTTCTCTAAGAGTTCCCTCTTTTTAGTTGGTCTCAACTTTGGCTTTCGTATTGGGTTCTATGCCTGGGGTTATTTGCAGGTGCTGGCGCCCAGTCAGTAGACTACAAGACTAAGATGTGGACACTGATTTAGGGCTTGAAAGTGAGCTTCATTTTTTTCCCCTCTCACTTCTTGGCACTCCTAGCTTCTTCTCAGAGTCTCTAGTTCTTAGCAGACCCGTCTCAGCTATGGTGAATGCCTGATAGCACTTCCCTCCCTATTTGTCTACTATCTGATCCTGACATTTGTGCTCTGATTCCAACTCTTCTTACATATGGAGGCTGTTGCTCAGAAGTGTCTTTTATTTAGACAGTTCTGTGTGCAAGGGCTGTACCTGGCCTTTACATGATTGTCATCTGTCAGAATCAGGACTCAGAGACATCCCTGTACTCTCATTCATGAAACTCTCATGATTCCTCACTGCCTACAAAACAGTATGGCTATCTCAGCGTACCATCCCATGCTTTTGGCTAGTTGGCCTTAATCACCTTCTCAGCCGTGGCATCTGTTTTTCCTTTTGCACCCTCTCCTGCTTCCCATCGGGTCACATTGGCTCCCATGCTTCCTCAGCCATCTCTGCCCAGCCTTGCCCTTCTGTTTCTACACACCTTCCTTTGGAAAGTGGCAGTACAGATCTCATCTCCTTCACAGAACTTCTCTCATCAGCTCAACGAAAATCAGCACCTATTTCACAGAGTATTTTATTTGTGCCCCTCTTGAGAGCTTTCCCCACATTCTGCCTCCACTTAAGCTTGCATCTCATTTCCTGATGAATATTACAAGTTCCTTGAGGACAGGCGCTTGCTTGCTTATTGCCTTCCATCAGAGCCTCTCTATTGGCTTATTAACTCACAAGTAAACATTTATTGAACGTCTGTGCTTTTCTGCCTTTCATTCCTTTTTTCAGTTGATGTTTGCTGGGTTAAAGAAATTTCTAGGTGATGGCCCCTACTTCTACATTCCTTCTGCTCCAGTCAAATTAGCATTTTGCTTCCAGAGTCCCTGCCCACATTTACTGTCTGTTCCTTGTTCTGTATACTAAAACATCCCATGAATTCTCATCACCAGTTCTAGTAAATCAAATGTTCCACCCACATTTTCTAGGTTCTGTGTTAACTTCTTCAAATATTTATTGAGAATCTGTATTGAACAATTGTTGTGCTGGGTGTTGGGAACGCATATAGGAAGACTATATGAGATCTGTTCTCAGGGAGTTCATAGTCTCCTGTAACACTGTATAAATGTGTAACACAAGAGATGTGCAGAGGGTTTGAGAGGGTTGAAGAAGAAAGAAGATCTATGCGCCCAGGGCCTTAAGGAGCAGGAGGCAGGGCAGAGAAGAGAGGAAGTCAGGAGATGCTTCCTTGAGAGAATTAATGTCTACATTTATCTTTAAAGATAAATAGGAATATGTGTGTGTGTGTGTGTGTGTGTGTGTTTTGGAAGCACAGGTGCAGAGCATGTAGGCATTTTATGACTGAGAGAGCAGTATGAACAAAGACAGTGCTGTGTGTGACAGACAGCAAAGGAAAGCTGGTATTCAAGGACTATGTCACTCTACCCATAGCAAGGAGCTATGGGAGGAAAACGGTTTGAGTTGTGTTTTCTGTTAAGTACATGAGAGGCTCCATGAAGCAGGGATTTGAAAAGGTCAAGTCTCACACCACGAAGACTCGTGACCAGCAGTGAAGGGTAAAGACAAGAATGGAACAGAGACAGACTTGGGAAGGAAAACTGTCTACAGATAGGAGGGGAAGGGAGGAGTGTGGTAGGTTCTGGAGGGCATGTTTCCTTCTATGTCTCCATCTGTGAATTTTCTGTTTGCCCACCTGGGCCCTGCTCAGGTCTCTGATATCCTAGCCTTCATCCATGATGCCTCTTCTGGTACTTCTTCATCACTAAAGATTTTGGCCATTTATTTAATGCTAATTGCAGTTTATTTGATTTTTGGTATCTTTTGTATGACATTAATCTTCCCTCTCTGTAAAGAAGATACAGCTTTTTTAATGAAAGGAGCTTCTGTGACTTTCCATAACACCTAGCAGAGGACTAAGAATATAACTGTGTGCTAAATAAGTACACATTTTCAAGAGTGTATTAAAATGCAGATATTTGGCCTATAGGTGATTCTGCCATAGGTAGCTTTTAGACCACTTAGAAGAAAATTGGTTTGAAAGAAGTTTAATCATCAATGCATCTAAGCCTATCACTTTATAGAGAGGAAACTGAGTCTTGGAGAGTGAGCCACTTGCTAGTTTCCTGGTTGTCTAGTAACAGACTCAGGGCTGAGATTTGTATCCTAACTCTTGACCTGATGCTTTCCCCCAGCACCGAACACACCACAGCCACCTCATTCAAACAATGCATTTCTAAAATAGAAGCTGAAATCCTCTTCAGAAGAATAAAGCTGAATCGATATTCTCATTGAGCTTAAACATGACTGGAAGGGATGTGAGAGATCTTGGATAGTATCTTTTTCTTCAGGAGTTTCTAATTAGGTACTAGGAAAAAGAACCATTAAAGAAAGAAATATTGTTGTGAGAGAATCCTAGAGGGAGAATCATAGGCTGTGGGTTGACTGGTTCCACTTTAGAAGCATTTCTCTTGTCAAGGGAGAAGCCGAAGCAAGCCTAATTTTGTACAAGTTGTTTGAATGTTTCTTGTAAAACATGTCAATAATGAAAAAGGAAATTTTTCTTTTCAACAGTTCCTAAATATAAAATGTCTATTTATGGGTATGTGGGTAGTTCAGATAGTAAATAGACGTGTTGGTTTTTCCTTTGCATCAAAAACAGCTAGAGAAAGAAATGGTGAAATGCCATTTCAAACCACTGTTTCCTTTGTTCTCTCTAAAAAAACTTCCACTGGCTGCAATGTGGTTATGGTGGATGGTCAATCTGTCACCCAACTTCAAATGAAAAAGGTGAGCTGAATAGAAGGTCTATAGTTTTGAGCTGGAGAGTTGAAAGGATTCTCCTCTGGTGGTCTGTCTTGTTCCTCTCTAAGTGACAGATGCTAACAAAATAGAGCAAATGTTTCCCTGTGTGGAGCCTATCACTTGTTTCAAGTTAGCAATGGCGAATCAATATATCATTAAATAGGGAGGACTGGGAATGTGGCTTAGAGTAGAGCGCGTGCCTAGCATGCATGAAGCCCTTGAGCAAAGGGAGGAAGTTCAGGGACAGTGTCCAGGCCCTAAGTTCAAGCCCCAGGACTGGCAAAAAGAAAAAAAGAAAGAAATAGGGAAATTGTAGGAAAGTGGATGAAGGAACAAACACTTCTCGATTTCAGCAGGACTTTTGGTGATATCTTTGGCAATTTCCTTGAGGGCAATAGAGAGAAAAGTTGGTTTGATGTTTGGGGATAGTTTACTGTTAGGTGGAGGCAGCTCTCCTGTGCCACGAGTCAGGATCTATCCATCTGTGGACTGTTCACGTCTTCCCATCAGGGATGAGTTGGAAATATTAAGACTGTGGATGTCAGTGTTTCATTAATTACTACCGTCAAAAATGGAAAGCATCTGCCCAGCAGAGTCTGCGTACCTATAACCGTTAGTGTTTAGCCAGCGCCTTTGAGGCCATCTGCTCTACAAAGGGCTCCTATGCGAGGTGGCAATATTGAGCTGAATTGGGCTTACATCCCTTTCAAACTCTAACATCCCATGTCTGTACTATCCTTTGGCTGTAAAAGATCAGTAAAATCTTTCTCTTTTTTAAAGAATCAGTTTCAGGTCTTCAATTTGTACGTTAGAAGCCTAGAGGTTTCCATGTATCCTGAGTGCTGTGATGTGTTTGGAGAACCGTGTTGTTTGGAGAACAGTGGTGACTTCTTTGAAGGACTAATTTCGTGTTTCATCACGAAATGCAACTCAGTGGAACCAATTTTCGCTTTGGTCCTGTGTCTTCTACTGAATGGACAGAAGGAAGTTTCTCAGGCCTGGGGTAGGGGTTGGGGGAGCAATGCGGTGGGCCAGGAATGTTCTAATATCTTGGTGCAAGACTGGTAAACATAAAGCAAGTAAATCTTCAGCTAGACACCCCACTTTCTGTCTTCAGTGTGACATCACCTCATTTTGGTGAGGCGAGTAATGTCATTTAAAATTGAATCCACATTTTTTTTTTAAAGATGAGCCAAGTTTCTCAAATTATTAAGGAAAAATATCACATGAGTGAGGGGGTAGAGTGACTCTTGGCCCAACTAAGGGATCATATTTGGTGTGTGATGGTCAGATAACATGGGCCCCATTTTGTTCCTACTGAGGTCCAAGAAGAGGTACCATGTTGCCAGTGCATCTCTCTTGTCCTCTCAAAAGAGTGGATGGAGCCAAGACAAAATATTAAAAGCAAGGAGGGGAGAATTCTGCAGTGGTCCTGCCACAGCTGTTGGATACATTTGTATAATCAAAGAACACAAAGCATTCACTCTGAACATATTATTAATAAAATTACATGAAGCATTTTGGACACCCAGAATATATTAAGAATAGTAAAGCAAAACCAATAAAACTACTGCTCACCTTAAGAAATAAAATACTAGCAATACATGTACACACTCTCAAACATTCCCTCATCTTACCACCCTCTCTTCTCTCAGAGGACTGTAGTTCTTTCTGTTTTACATCACACACACACACACACACACATTTTTGGACTGGTATTGGGATTTGAGCTAAGGGCCTTGTACTTGCAGGTTGTTGCTCTACCACTTGAGCCATGCCTCTATCCCCTTTTGCCTTGGTTATTTCTGAGCTATGCCAGCCTGGGTAGGCCATCATACCTAGCCACGGGTTGAGATGGAGTCTAGCGAACCATTTTATCTCCTCAAGTTTTGATTCCTCAATCTCTGCCTTCAAGTAGCTAGGATTAGTACATCAACTCCTAGTATAATAAATCTCCTTTGAGGGGCTGGGAAGGTGGCTCAGTGGTAGAGCACATGCATGCATGAGGCCCTGGGTTCGATTCCTCAGCACCACATAAGCAAAAAGAAAAAAGCCAGAAGTGGCACTGTGGCTCAAGTGGTAGAGTGCTAGCCTTGAGCTGAAGAGCTGAGGGACAGCGCCCAGGCCCAGAGTTCAGGCCCCACAACTGGACCCCCCAAAATAAAATCTCCCTTGAGGAAGTGGCGCTGTGGCTCAAGTGGTAGAGCACTCACCTTGAGCTGAAGAGCGCAAGGACAGTGCCCAAGCCCAGAGTTCAAGCCCCACAACTGACAAATCAATCAATCAATCAATCAGTCAATCTTCTTTGAGAGGAGAGGGTCAGTAAGATCGGAGAGAAGTGGGTGAGGATGTGCACAGATGTTAGTGTTTTATTTCTTCAGGTAGGGAGTGGTTACAGAGGGTTTGTTGTACTATTCTAGTCACGGGGCCCTGCTCACACTTTATTTTTCAGATAAGAAAAGGGAAGTTCAGAAAAGAGAAAATCTGGGGTTGGGGACATGGCTCAGCTGGTAGAGTGTCAGCCAACGAATAAAAATGTCAGATCAAGAGTTTGAATCCCAGTCTCCAACAGAGAGAGAGAGAAAGAGAGCTTGAGGTAGAGAAAGGTTGGAGACCACTGTAATCTCATGCTTGATGCCAATGCAGCCTTAGGATACCTTCTGTTCTCCCACCACCACTGCTGCCCTTGCTCAGCTCCCAAAGCTTACAGAGGCACTCTGCCACCTGAGCCGTGTCCTCTGCCCTTTTATTTGTCTTGTTTTTGAGGTAGGGTCTCATTGCTTGAACTCTTCATCTCCCTCCCTCCACTCTGGAGTAGCTAGGATTATAGGCATGTGCCACCATGACTGGTTGCCTTCTGTTTTTGCCTTTGGGGAGTGAGGTAGTGTATGGTCCACTCCTGGGTGGAGAGCAGACTCCACCCTCCTTGCAGCAAAGTCTCCACCCAGGCAACTGGCACACCTGGAAGAGGTCACATCTGCATCCGCTGAGGTGACATCTGAATTTGATGTGGCCACACCTTTCTCTGCCCATACCCTAGATAAGGTCTCGCCCAGGCCCAGACGCTCTCTTTTCTAGCTCTTTCCCAGCTCTCTCTCTTTCCCAGCTCTCCCAGCTCTCTTTCCCAGGCCTTTCCCCGCCACGTGGAGGGCCAACATGGTCTGGTGCCGATCGGAAAGATGAATAAACCTACCCCTTACCTGAATACCATGTGCGTGGTACTGTTCTTACTCGGCTACCTCTTTTTAAAAACCTAACAGGTAGCACTGTATGATGTTAATACATTTGTGTAGTTTCTCAGCCCTTTGGGTACAATCAGGAATATAGCATATGTATAGTTAAGCATGAAAAATTGAAAGGGAACAATATTAAAGCATATATTTTTGGAGGGAGGGTAGTATCGGAGTTTGAACTCAGGACCTCATGCTTGCTAGGAGGTGCTCTACCACTTGAGCCACAGCACAGACTGAAAAGGGAGGGAATGTTAGCTAACATTTCCTTGCTTGGATGTTGGATTGGTATCTGCAGCACACACATACATCGAGAAGTTTGGGGACAGTCAGATGTATAATAGATTTTCACAGCAGTGACATTGAGCTACAAAATAAAACAAACTCTTCAGAGCCTGCCTTCTCTTTCCCATGCTTACAAGTAGACATCAAAGCCTCCCCCGAGAAATAGTCCTGCTAAAATGCAAAATATCATTAGAAGATAGTTTCCTAGACTTGTCATCAGGATGTTTGATTTGCTTCCTAGGACAAATGAAAAATCTGATTAATATTTTGCTGGTGAGTAAAAAATCAGGAGGATTGAAAAAATACGGCACAGAGAAATTAATTTTTAATAAAATAGAGAGCCAAGCAAGATTACTGTCTTCTTACTGATGGGATGATATATAATTTTGCAATTCTGGTTTAAGTGCAGACACTTTTCTCTATTTATAGATATTTTTGACAACCTAGGTTTATTCTTTGTCACTTTTTAAGTGCATTTTTTCTTCCTTTAAAAATAACAGGTAACAGCTAGCAATTTTCACCTAGAACTCCATCAAGCATTTGAAAAGACGATAATCTATGGAAAAAACTTGTAATTGGTCACAGGATCATCTATCAGACTTAATTTTGTCCAGAAGGCTGACATTAATGTCCCATAAAAAGCATCACACTTGAAAAACAAGCCCTACCTCTGTAGGATATTTTTGGGTTCTTTGTTACAGAGGTGTTAGGTACCGTGGATGTCTGAGCTAACCTATCTATCCAATGACCAGAAGAACTTGCCCTCTACCCCTGCCCACTCAACTACCTATATTCACCAGTTGTAATGCCCATTCACAGATGGGCTGATGTGAGGACTTGTTATGTTTGTTAACACAGCTGGAATCATTCCTTACCCAAAGTTCTTGAGACCAGAAATGATTCAGGCTTTGGAATTTTTTGTTATATTGGGAAATTTCATATATACATATATATAACATATATTATTATAATATATATTCTATATAATATAATATATTAATAATATAATATACTAATTATATATTACATATAATATAATATATTAATAATATAATATACTAATTATGTTATATTGTTATATATTATATATAATATGTAATATATTATAATAATATATAAATTTAATATATATTATATATATAATAAATTTTGGGTATGGGAACCAAGACTAGATATCAAATTCACTTGTTTCATATACATCTAATACACATTTTTGAAGATAATTTGATGCCATATTTTGAGTATAACCTGTGGATTTTGCCTGTGACCCATTCTATGAAGTCATATAGGGATTTTTTTTCCACCTATGACATCATGTGGGTACTCCAAAAGTTTGGGATTTTGGAACATTTTAGATTTTGCTTAGAGATGTTTAATCTGCATTAGTATTATTATTATTATTATCTTCCTTGAAGCTAAATGTTGAAGTGAAATAGGACTTGCCATATAAGGAGTACATCTGCCTCATCACCCTCCACCTCGTGAATGCTTAATGTCTTTCTGGAATTGATGAGTCGTGTAAGGCCACCATTTCAGACTTAGCAATTTTGCTTTTGTTTTCCAGACTGTTTATTCCATGGCTCCCTTTCCTTTCCCACAACTGGCGGAGTTAAGGGAAAAGTATACCTACAACATCACACCTTTCCCAGCCACAGTTAAACCTGCCTCCTTTCCTGGGTAAGACTGTTTATTATTTGTTTCCTGTTTTCTTTTTATGATGTAAGACTTAATTCATTAATTTTTTTATGATGGCTTAATATTTATTAGGTCCTGAAATTATGTGCAAAGTAATTTGGTTCTTAAAATCTGAATGACTCTCAATGGTTATGATTTATATTCATGAGAAAATTTTAACAACATAGTTTCCAAAGAAGTGTGAACCATATTTCAAGAATGAAAATAATGTGGAACTGGTATACAAATAAGCAGATGAGTTAGTTTCAAATAATAACAGAGACAGAAATTGATAGATACATATATGAAATCTGGAGTATGAAAAATTGCCAGATGAAGTTAATGGTGAAAAGATATGCTATTCAATAAGTGGTAATTGGGAAGGAAAGTTAACATTTTGCCTCACACCATACATCAGGGTGAGTTCATATGGCTGAATGTATTTCAGGAAATAATGAAATAATTAGTAGAAGAAATGAAGCAGTAGTTCTTTGAAATTGAGATTGTAGTAACTGCCTCAACAGTGAAAAAAATGAAGGTACTTTAAATAATAAAGGGAAAAAAGTACTTTAAAAATAATTTTTTTTAGCTAGGTGCCAATGACTCTTCCTGTAATCCCAGCTAATCAAGAGGCTGAAATCTAAGGATTACAGTTTAAAGCTAGCCAGGCAGGAAAGTGTGAGACTCTTATCTTCAAGTAATCACACACACAAAAAAATCTGGACATGGAGCTGTGGCTCTAGTGGTAGAGCACTAACCTTGAGTATAAAAGCTCAGGACAGTACGCAGGCCCTGAGTTCAAGCCCCAGGACTGGCACAAAAAATTTTTTTTTTCTGCCATGACCAAGCCCAAAACAGAACAAAACACAATCTAAATAAGCAGACCCAAAAATATTTATAGAAAAATCAAATTCTATACTATCAGGGATGATATTTCTGTACTATCAGGGCTGATATCTCTAATATATACAGTTCCTGGAAGTTCATAAGAAATTGGTCACTCGGGTTAAAAAGATGATGAAAGACAGAATATGTATTTATGCAAAAACAATATCGTTAGTACTAACAGAATCTCAAAACTAGAAACTGAGATTTTCCTCTCCTTACTCTCTTTCTTCCTTGGATTGAGGTTTATACTCAGGCCTTGACTTCTCTCTTGGCTTTTATGAAGTATTCCAAATGGAGAAAACAGTATATGGATGGTTATTTTCTGCAGTATCATTTCAATTGTGTGTGTGTGTGTTTTCATTTCAGTTGTATGATCATTGGAATCACTCATGAGTGGGCACCATGTCTGGCCTGGTTCTATAATGTGGGCTTTATGGGTATAGTACAGCTGTACAGAAAGGAAGAGGAAAGCTGCGGAGGTGGTTCAGCATCACAGCACTTGCTTGGCATTCATGAGGCCCTGGGTCCAAGCCTAGCCCCCAAAATAAAACAAATAAGCAAATAAAGCCACATTTTCTCAGTAAACAGATCTATGTGCAAGGCTCTTCTCTGTGTCTAGCAATAACTTGCTAGACAAAGTGTTTGATTCTTGAGCAAGGTAACTTCAAGAAAAGCCACTGAGTTGTAAGATAGTCTAAAAGGACATGTGACTGGAAATATTTCTTTGTTTGTTTCTTTCTTTTTTTCCTTTATTTTTCTTTTGACAGTCCTGGGACTTGAACCCTGGGCCTGAGCTTCTTTTGCTCAAGGAGAGCGCTTTATCACTTGAGCCACAGTGCCACTTCTATCTTTTTTTGAGTAGTTTATAGGAGATAAAAGGCTCATGGAGTTTCCTACCAAGGCTATCTTTGAACTGTGATCCTCAGATCTCAGCCTCATGAGTAGCTAGGATTACAGGCCTGAGCCTCTGGCACCTGGCTCTGGGAAAATTTCTAACATGATTAAAAGCAAGCTATAGAAGACAATATAGTATATTACTATATATGCACAGATGAAAATTATATAGTTATATATGCTGATTTGTCTGTAGACAAACTGATGAATGTAAAATATTGATGGTAAATGTTACCTGTGGGAATTAGATGGGTCAAGAACTGGGCAGATGTTGATAGGGTTGGGAAGGTGACTTTTAAAAAAATGTTTCATAATTACATAAATATGTCATTTAAACCACAGAAATGAGTTGCCTGTTGTTCAACAGTTGTTTAACAGTTTAACAGTTCTGTACAGTCGTATTTAAACAATACGACTATTTCCTTTGACTATTTTTTTTTTGTCTTTTTTCATGTTTTCTAAGACGACATGGCAAGAGCAGAGACAGTGATGAGGAGAATGATCTTGATGATGAAGATGCCATTGCGAATGCTGTGGGGTGTCTTGGGCCTTTCAGTGGGATCCTGGCACCAGAATTGCAGAAGTATCAAAAGCAGATTAAAGGTAAAGGAGTGGCTCTTGATTTAGATGATCATAGATTGGTTATTGTATTTTTATGTCTTCTAGAGGCCTCAGTAAGTCCCTGAACTGGTTACTACTAGTAAAAGTCTACATTTAGAATGTTTGGGGGGCTGGGAAGGTGGCTCAGTGGTAGAGCGCTTGCCTTGCATGCCTGAGGCCCTGGGTTCGATTCCTCAGCACCACATAAGCAAAAAGAAAAAAAGC